GTGGGACTCAGTACAGTGGTCTCGAGGTCCGGTGTCCTCTGCGTCTTTGTAGTGTGGAACCAGGTGGCTGTACAGAGGAGTGGGCGGGGAGTGTCCAGTGGATTGTTGCCGGGGCTCGGGCTGATTCGGTGTGTTCCACGTGACTGGCAACCTCTGTAGGACGTGCGCAGACCTGCCTGTCCGCAGCAGGTTGATTTGACATGTTCTGCGTGACTCGCAACCTCTGTAGGGCGGACTTAGTTTTAATTAACTTAAATTCAATAGTCACATATAGCTGATGGCTAACAAATTGGGTCATACTGTAAAATATTCCTTTATCTCCTATTGGGCAAATTCAATTATTTCATCTCAGTATGTGTCCTTGAAGGTAGTAAAGTTTTTAAAAGTTGAATTTTTAAGCTTCTGTGAAACTCTTTTCATTCTCTTTATACATTTTCATCTCTTGCTTCAGAGTTTTCTATTGCCTTTTCTCCCCCTATCCCTAATTAAACATGGGCAATCCCTAGGTTTTTTGTTTAACCTTCTTCTCTTATCCCTAGGAAAAGGTGGATACATATAAAAATTTTAAAGTCTGAGTATATAGCTCAGTGGAGTATATAGCTCAGTGGAAGAACGTTTTGTTTTTTTTTGGAAACAGGGTCTTGCTATGCAGTTCATGCTGGCTTTGAACTTACTATGTAGTCCAGGCTGCCCTCAAACTCCTGGCAATGCCCCTGCCTCGGCCTCTCAAGTGCTGGAAGTACAGGCATGCACCACCAGGCCCAGCCTAAGAACACTTTTCTGTCATGTGCAGGGGCCTACTTTTGGTCTCTAGCACCACCAAAGCAGAAAAGAAAACAATGTATTCAATCCTTTGTATGGAGGCCTTTATCTTTTCATGAAGTATTGCATAAACCATTTCTCCCAGAGAGAATTGAGCAATTTTCAGCTACATGGAAGAAACTCTGTTTTGTTCATTACATAACTCCAGTGTCTTTCATAGTCTTGTAATAATAGGAATTTAATAAACTGAACTAAAATGCAAAGGAATTGAATTTAGAGATAGGATTCATTTTCGCCTGTACCCAAAGCTTTTACATGGTGAACTATAATAATTTTCCAAAAGTATTCAGTACTGACCTAATGACTCTTTCCTTTTTCCTTGCTTATCTCAACTTTATGAGAAGACATTTCTGTGTGACTCTGCAGGGGTTGGCAAGATTTTTCTGTAAAGGACAAGATAAATGTTTTTAGCTCTATTGCCACATATTCTTGTTTTAATAACAAACTCTTTAAAAATGTAAAAACTTTTCTTAGCTGTTTTTACTTAGGTTGGTAGGACTTTCCTAATGGGTATAGTCTGCCAAGTAAGTATTGGACCCTTTTCTTCAATTTCTGTAATTAGGGTTAAACTATGATTGAACCCACCACTGAGGAAATTTATTGTTCATGATAACATAGTATAAATAAATTTAATCAGATTAGCCAACATTACATTTTTAAACATTGAAAAGTAGAGTTTCAGATGAATATACCATTTAGAATTGCTTTCAAGGGCTGGAGATTTAGCTCAGTGGTTTTGCCATCTGCTGCCCAAGCGCAAGGACCCGAGTTAGATCCCTGGTACCAAAAAAAAAAAAAAAAGAATTGCTTTTAGTTACCAGTAACAGAAAACTGGGATAATTAAACAATAACTTTGCCTGAAATGGCAAGCCACCCAGACGGACAAAAACAATCACTGGCATTTGTTCTGCTGCTCAATAACATCATAAAGAACCCAGTTGCTTTCTAGTTTCCTGCTTCACCATTGTTGGTATATTGACTTTTATCCTCATTCCTAATGTTTCCTGGTCATAATGTAGCTGCTGTAGTTCTCCCCACACCACCATCTCTTGTTGGAAAAAAAGAATAATGTCTCCATATTTTTATCCAGAAGACGAATCTCTCAATGGGCTTTTTTTTTTAACTGCCCATCAGATGCATGCCATGGTAGACAGAACGATGGGCCCAATGGATATGTAGACTCTAATCTCTGCAACCCATGAATATGCAGATGTAATCACATTTGCAGATATTAGAATATCCTAGATTATCCAATGATCCAATCTAACCATACAATTCATTATAAGTAGAGCACTTACTCTAGCTGGAATTGGCAAGATGAAGCAAAAATAGTCAGAATGATTCCAAGTGTGAGGAGTTTAATGCTCTGTTGAAGTGTAAGGGTTCACAAGCAAGGACTGTGAAGGTACTTTAGTCACCCAGTTTATAGCCAACAAGAAAAGGGTTTATACCTTCATCCTATAACCATAAGGAATTAGATTCTGCCAACAACCTGAATAAGTTTGCAAGCAGATCCTACCCAGAGCATCTTGGTAAGAGCCTAACTAGCTGTCATCTTGATTTTGTCTTTGTGGAACCAGAGCTGAGAAACCAATAAAACCACACCTAACCTCTAATAAATTTGTGTTAATTTGTTACAGCAGCAATGGAAAATTAATACACATGCTCACCCCAGACCAATCATTAGGTACAGTGAGTAGAATTACAACTGCTTTAAGGCTAACCATGATTTATTCTGTGGGGCTAGGAGGAGGCTTATCCTCCCTGAGATCAAAAGACTTTGACTCTAAAAAAACCTATGTTCTATGTGGAGGGGGAAAATGTAAGGGGGAGGAGTTTTCGGTTTATTTGTTTGTTTGTTTGTTTCTGAGAAAGAGAAGTTAACCTGAGAGATGGGAAGAATAGATAGAAATCAATGACAGAAAAAGAGTCACAAGTAAGTTCAATATTAGCATTTCTCAAGTGATTGTTAATGAAGGTAATTTCTGGTTACTAGAGGGAGGAGTCTCTTCTGCTCACTTCCGACTCATAGGATGGAAGTTCTACTTTAGGTATGGCCCTGCTGATAATATTGGGACTTTTTTTAGTAGTTCTATTAGCAAGGGATAAAAGGGAGACATTTATTGGGTAGACAATTAACAATGTGCTTCTTAAGGGAGATGAACAGTTATTTCTGGCCAGATTATCATGATACAGCCAGAAAACCTAAGAGAAAGGGATGTTAGAAGGATGAGCGCTCTCATCAATTAGCACAGTACCCAAAGGTAGAATTCTAACAGCTGTTGCAGTCTACTCCCAGACTCTTTAATCAGAAAAAAATTGAAAATGGCCCTTGAAAATTGTTACATTCTTACTGTGGTTCCAAACTGTGATACCATTTTACTGCAGTTTCAAATTCAATTCCTGTTTTTTTAAAAAAGTATCAAGTGCTGACCTACTTCTATATTTATAAGGTTTCTAACTTCCCTTTTCCTTTTCCTGCCTCCCTTCAACCCCCATTTGCTTCTGGCTACCTCCTGGTTCTTCTACTTGTCTCCAGTGACAAATGCCCTATTGCTTTGTCCCCCTATTTACATTAGAAAAAATAAAAAGACTTTTTCCTCAGCCTTTTCTCTCTACTTATTCTTCTGCCACTTATTTTATCCCTTCTGGGTAAATGACAAATCTGTACCAAGTTTTCTTTCCATACACTTCTTCCCAGGATTGCTGGCTCCTTGAAACTCCAGCAAGAATGCATTATGTAAAACCATTTGATGTTCATGGTGACATTTCAGGGCTGAATGCATTATTCATGCTTTGGTAATAAAAATGCAATGAAAAGTTTGCAGTTTTGTAAGTCATATGGTGAAAGTATTCCCTATGCAGTAATTAAAGGCAAAACGTAAGCTCCATGCCACCAGCCAAAAAGAAAGACAGAAACAAAAGGAGCCAGATTTTAATTTGTAATACAAAACAAAATAAAACATGAGGCTTGTTTTGGTCATTTGTAAAATATAATATTTTAGCTGTGAACCTCCCAAGATTGTTTATTTATTCTTGAGGCAGAAGACCTGTTTACAGAATAATTTTTTCTGCAACATATTTTTAAGTAGAAAAGATTAAAGAAATAATAGGGAATTTGGAATGCACAAAAATCTTTGAAGTGGCTACAGGAATGGGATTTGTGGATTTTAAAAGGCTATAATAAAACAATCATTTAAAATGTTTTCCTTAACTCTACAAGAAAAATTTTTTTCAATTTATAAAAACTTGACTTTAAAAAGTCTTGCAACTTTGATGGCTTCATACTATTATTAATCTCTCAGAAACCAGAGATACTTTCCCAAAGAGGACAAGCTGCAGCATTAATTACACTGGATATAAATTTGTGTTTTACATAGCCTTTGTGATCATTTCTAACTTGGGAAGTAGAGTCCTTGTCAGATCTGATTAGATGGTTTTAGTTTTTACTTACATTGTCACTAAGATCTCATACCAGGAATATTAGTTTTGCCATTTTCTATCAGTTACTTGGGCTTACATTGCTGTCATTATTCGTCTTCACTATAGGTAATATAGAGTTTTGCAACCTATTTGTCCATTTTGCAAAAGTAGTTTTTGGATTAGATAATCTAAAAATCTACTTAACAGATGCAAAATCACGTTTCCCTTAAAGCAAAGGAGGGAGGTGGCATAGGTGGCTCCCCTGCCTGTGAGCTGCCACTCACCTCTTCAAGATTCCCTGTCATACACACTTTAGAGGCCACTGCACAGGGCAGGTGGTCCTTATGAGACTACCTGCATCAATGAATTACCTGAGTGCTTGTTAAAAATGTAATCTTTGACTAAACTAGATGTAATGAGTCAGTAAAAAATAAATACAAATTTTAATTAATTCTCTGAACACCAAAGGGTTATAATATGTGCTCCAGAATCTCTGGGGCTCAGGTCCAGTAAATTGCTCATTTATCAAGAAATCCTGCTGCTTTTGCAAGTGAAGAAAAGCACTGTACATTGCTGCAATGAAGAAAAGCACAGTATTATTTGTCAACACAGAACTTTAAAATCTTCCCCAGAATGACAAGCTGTAAGATTTCTAGCATATTTGCTATTTTTCATTTTAGGTGAAAGATTGAATTTTATAAAGTGCAAAGGACAAAGAAACCAAATGATCCAAAACTCAGAAAATTATATTACTGAAGAATTCATAAAATTGTCTTAACATAATTCTAATTATTAACATCACTCTATCCCATTTTGCAGATGTCACAACTAAGACTTAAGCATATGAGCTGAGTAGGAGATATTTTTAAAAGTGATTTACATTCATGTTTGTGGTTTCACATAAATAAAAGAGCTCAGTTTTATAAGTTAAAACATATACCTCTTTACTACAATCACCTTTTATTGAAGTATTAAGCACTAAGTACTAAAAATACACTAATACTAAATTCTTTTTCTAAAAAAACCTCTATAAGTTTAATTCTCTTAATTTCACAAATAAGATCTAAGATTCAAGGAGGGTAAACACACCAGGCATGGTGGTGCACATCTGTAATCCCAGCACTCTGGGACACCTGAGACAGGAAGATTGCAAATTTGAGACCAGACTGGTCATCTTAGTGACTTAGTGAGACCCTATATCAAATAAAAAAGGGCAGGAGATGTAGCTCAAGGCACAGGCCTTTGAGTGAAATCCCCAGTATCACAAAGCAAAAAGGGCTAGCCAGGCATGGTGGCACATTCCTGTAATCCCAGCTCTCAGGAGGCTGAGGCAGGAAGATTATAATGAGTTCAACACCAGCCTGGGCTACATAGTGAGTTCAAGCCTGGCCTGAACTACATAGTGAGATCTTGTCTAAAAAAACAAATTCAAAGCCCAAAAAACAAACAAACAAAAAAAGGGCTAAGCAACTTTTCCAAGATTACAGAGCCATGACAGAGAAGATATGCCCTTTTTTGATATTTTGAGGTTTATCTAAGTATAATGAGACAAATATAGACATGACAAAGATGGAAAATGTCTACTTTAAGTGGATACATCTTAGTATTATCCAAGCACATACAAGAGTAATTTACACAGCATAACTTACAAAACCTTCAATAAAGATAGGGCATACAGAATCTTAATTGAAAGTTTATGTGCTACAGTATATTATTTCTAAAAAGCAAACAACATTACTTGTCTTATTTTATTCTCTTGTCCCAGTATACAAAGTCAGAAATAAGACTGCATGTCCCTATTTTGTCACCTATTTAAAATAGGTCTTAGGGAACCATGTGATCAGTAAGAAGTTAAGTAGATCCAGAATTTACTTTCTAACATCTCTAGAAATCTGTTAACATTATTATGGTACTCTTCTTCATGAGGCTTAACAAATTACTATGGCCTAAATGGTGCTGT